AAAAAAAAAAAAAAGGCTCCAGGAAGTGACAGAACAGCCATTTAGATGTTTCTTCAAACAGACGCCATGCTGGAGGCACTTACTTGTCTATGCCAAGAAATCTGGAAGACAGCTAACTGGCCAACTGACTGGAAGAGGTTGATATGTGTGCCCATTCCAAAGAAAGGTGATCCAACAGACTGTGGAAATTATTGAACAATATCGATATCACATGCAAGTGATTTCGCTAAACATAATTCAAAAATGGTTGCACCAGTATATTGACAGGGTACTTCCAGAAATTCAAGCTGGACTGAACAGAGGACATAGAACAAAGGCTATTATTACTGATGCCAGATGGATCTTGGCTGAAGCAAAGAATACCACAAAGATTTTTACCTGTGTTTTATCAACTATGCAAAGGCATTTAACTGTGTGGACCATAACACATTATGGATAACATTGCAAAGAATGGGGATTCCAGAACACTTAACTGTGCTCATGAGGAACTTGCATATAGACTAAGAGGCTATAGTTCAAACAAAACAAGGGGATACTGCATGGTTTAAAATCAAGAAGGGAGTGTATCAGGGTTGTATCCTTTAACCATACTTATTCAATCTGTAAACTGAGCAAGTAAGCCAAGAAACTGGACTATATGAAGAAGAATGTTGCATCAGGATTGAAAGAAGGGTCATTAACCTGTGATATGCAGATGACACAACCTTGCTTGCTGAAAGCGAAGATGACTTGAAGTGCTTACAGATGACCATTTCAGGGATTTTCTTACTCAATTAAAAGGAGAAGCTTCCTTTGAATGATTATGACCACACAATTTTTCCATCTTAATTTTAGTTCTGCCTTATACCAGTTACTTGCTCTCACAACCTACTCCCCTCCTTCAGCTCTCTCTGCATTCATGTCAGCCTACTTACTGTCAGCACAGAGATCAGATTTAAGCAGATCCAATGCAGATGGGTTCTTTACCAGGTGACACCAACATACATTCCACACTTACCTGCCTAAAGCGCAGGGAAAACTGCTGGCGAAGAGGACTGTTTTTCTACACCTAATATTTTGTTTTGTCTCGATATTAAAAAAGAAAAAAGTCTGAGCAGTCTCATATACTGCTGAATGAATGGATGAGGAGAATGAATTATAATGAAGATAAAAATGATAAAGTATTTATTGTTCAAAGCAGTTTATCTTATTTAATATGGACTGTGAAGCTCTGGGGTTATTTTCTCCATTTTATAAATAAAGAAACTCAGGCATTTTTGAGAGTCTAAGTAATTTGATCAAGATTAAACAAGCTAGCTAAGTTCCCAGAGCAATCCACTGAAAATCATCTAACCCATCACAGACCTGAACCTTAGGATAACCAACCTCAGGAGCAAAAGAAGGAAGGAAGACAAAGGATTGACAGAGGTTAGAAACAACAGTGAAAATAAAAGAGGCAGAATGGAAAAAAACATCAAAAGAGAGAAGAGGGAAAAGGAAAGCTTTTCTCCTTTATCAGCTATAAATCATTACAAAAGTTACCCTAGGATGACTCCAAGGACTTTGGGGACCAACTTAGAGAAGAGACTGGAATAGCGATGGACTCTTAGTCTTAAAGGTTCTACTTCCACTCCAGCTGAAAAAGACCAGACTACTCTACAAAAGAAACCTAATAACCAGTTGCCTACTAAACAGGGAGACAAAAAGTAAGATATCTCATATGTACTACCAGAGCTGCTATTCCTTCAAAAGCTGTAGTATAGAAACCAGCCTGGCTCTCCCAAGTTTACAATGATTATAGAATTTTCTATAAGTGCAATAATATGCAGAAGTATAGCTGAAGAGTTCTGGTCAGCAACAACTGCTGTCCTTCTATTTTGTCACCTACTGTCAACAGGCAAGTAAGTTGCAATGAGAAACCAAAAACAATAAATCTTTATCATAGTACATATAAGTGTATATGCACATTCACACAATGCACACAGAGTTAATTTCTATTTTTCTACTTCACAAAAATGTGAAATAGGCAGTCTATATACTTGTCAGTGTACAAAACACTGAGACAGTAACCTAGAGTGGACAACTAAGATTTTAAGGAGCAATCTTACTCTCTAACAACTTTTCCTTCCACCATTAAAGATATCACTGTGCTTCCCCCTGACTCACTGATGCTAATCTTAGGTAGGAGTTTTCTATGTACATTTTGAAGAATTAAAAAAATATATAATGTCATACAAATATCCTAAGTATCAAAAAACTGATAAGATTTTACACAAATACATAGCATATACGTAAGTGTACACAAACACTCATGTGACACACACTCTCAAGAGCAACAAAAGTCTCTTATCAGGTATGAAATCTTATGTTAAATAATAAGCAATGAAATAATAAGTAAGGTTCCCCTCTTCTTTCAAGAAACTGTGTGTATGTACCAGTTTATGTTTGTAAGTTAATACCGTCTAAGATTCCATCTTTCCAAAAATTTTTTAAAGTTTTACTTTAAAGAATGTTTTCAGTCATGAATACAATTTACTGTACTTACAGCTAAAATACTCGCTTCCACAGGCAGTAGGTTTAAGAATGCAAAGAGCTGGACAGTCAAGATGGTATAGACTTGTGTGGCCGACAGCATGAGCATTCCTATAGAGAGCAGCATCTCGTAAAATTACCTGCAAGGTAAGTACATGAGTGACAATAAGGGCTGGTGCTTTGACCCCGAGACTAAAGCACTTGATATATTAATTCTAATATCCAAAATTATCCCTTTTAATTATAAGTATGTATTAACATTAAAATTAAAAATTATATTTCAAAAGTGTAAGAATTTATACAGATTTGGACATTTAACTAAATACCTGATGTTAGACAATACCTGTATAATTCATGCTGACTCTAAGTTCCTTGTTTTTGTTTTAACCACAATTCAAACACCCTCCCACAATTCTCAGTTTACACTAGCACGTCTACTAATCAAATTTTGGGGCAAACCAGATCCTAATCAAAATCATGATAAAGAAACACAAGTACTTCTGCTATAAAATTTTCTGTAATTTTAAAGATAATTTAGCCTTTGGTTCAATATAAATTCACATATAAATTCATTTTTATTTACTCTTATATGCTATACCCATGTAATAGGATCTCTTTTAAAGTAAAATAACAGTCATTATAAGGTAATACTTTTTTCCCTTAAATCCTATAATCTATATTTTTCCCTCTCTATATTCTATCATACAAAAAATTTAAGCCTCGAGTTGCAATATTGAAAGATTCTAAGGGCAAAACATTGAATGATGCAGGGAACATCAAGAGAAGATGGCAGGAACACACAGAGTCACTGGACCAAAAAGAACTGGTCGATCTTCATCCATTTCAGGAGGTGGCATATGATCTAGAACCAATGGTACTGAAGGAGAAAGTCAAAGCTGCAATGAAGGAATTGGCGAAGAACAAGGCTCCGGGAATTGATGGAATACCCATGGAGATATTTCAATAAACAGATACTGCACTGGAGGCACTCACTCAGTTATGCCAAGAGATTTGGAAGACAGCTACCTGGCCACCTGACTGGAAGAGATGCATATTTGTACCCATTACAAAGAAAGGTGATCCCACAGAATGTGGAAATTATCTAACAATATCATTAATATCGCACACAATCAAGATCTTACTGAAAATAATTCAAAATAATTCAAAAACAACTGCAGCAATATATTGATAGAGAACTTCCAGAGGTGCAAGCTGGATTCAGAAGAGGACGTGGAACAAGGGATATCATAGCTGCTGTCAGATGGATCTTGGCTCAAAGCAAAGAATA